CTTGAATGTAGAGAGAGATGCACAACGAGAGGAAAAAATAGTATCAGAAAGAGAAAGAGAAATACTGAGACCGAGTGAGGGGGAGTGGACTTGGGGGGGGGGGGGGGGTTATATAGGAGTGGGAAAAGTATCTGTTGCACCAAGTTTGCTGGATGGGCAGCGAACTTGGTGCATGTCAGACACGTGTCCTTATAGCCATTGGACAGAGTTCGCTGGAGCATGAGGCGAACTTCGTTGCATGTCTACCACGTGTCTTGGCAGGTGGGAACATGCAGTGCATTAATTGCTCCCAAGTTCGCTACTCTAGGTAGCGAACTTAGTGTCCACTAGGAACGTGACACATCAGCACACCGAGTTCGCTATAGTGCCCAGCGAACTTGCCCACGTGACAGATTGAAAAATATCAAGTTTGGCGTGGTATTTAGGAAAATAAGTTGGGAAACAATGGCATTTTGGTCATTGTTCCTGTGAAACAAGCTTGCAATAAAGTATGTAACAGTGACTAAAATGCTACTGTTCACCAAATTTTTTACCCAAATACCACGTGAACAGTGTTATTTCCCAATATGCCACGTGGGCAAGTTTGTTGGGCACTGTAGTAAACTCAGTTTGCTGACGTGTCACGTTTTTAGTGGACGCCAAGTACCAAGTTCGCTACCTAGGGTAGGGAACTTGGTTGCAATGCATACTTTTTATGTATTGCTACCAAGTTCGCTATCCCAGGTAGCGAACTTGATGACCACAACAAACGTGACACATTTGCAAACTGAGTTCACTACAGTGCCCAGCGAACCTGCCCACGTGGGATATTGGGAAATAATACTATTCGCGTGACATTTGAGTAAAAAACTTGATAAACAATGGTATTTTGATCAGTGTTTCAAAAACCTCTGCATTAGGGAACACTGATTCACCGCGTCTGGTCACGTCACTGAGGTACATGAGAACAGTGGCAACTCGATGTCCACCCCGAGCTATATTAACTTTATCAACAAAGTAATCATAATGTGGGTCATATTTGAGCCCGTGCTCATACCTTAATATTTGGATGCAATGTTATTGAATTTGATTCGGGCATCGATCCAATAAAGATGTTGGATTATTAGTCAGATCAGTAGGTTATTGATCGAATTAGTTAATTCGAATATATAAAAATATATATAAATATAAACATATAAATTTAATTATATTCTTCATATTTAAAATGAGTTAAATAAAGTTCATTAAGTAAACTAAAACATTATCCAATCACATTTTTACAAGTTCATAAAGCACAAATAAATGAAAATATATACTATTATTATGTCAATTTAAATTGTAACTCAAAATTCCCGTAAGCCAATCTCTCAGTGATATTCAAAAGGCCAGATGTTATGAACGCATATTTTTCAAATTTATCTACATTGAAATAATATATGTCACATTTTCTTAATTTATTATTCCATAAATTACTTCAATATTAAAAGTTGAAATTTGAGATCATCGTAAAAGAATATATTACTAACAAATAGAAGACTAGGTCAAGAAGCACAATTCTGCAGATTGTAGTGCAAATGGATTCTCATTGACCTTTTTTTTCTTTGGCAAGTAATTGAAGAGGTCAAGCTTTCAAGATGTTGTTTTCTCATAGATAAAATTTTTGTGTCTGTATCTCTAGACTTGTATCTCTAGACTTATATATTCACAAATACACAAATTTTGGTAGGGAATTTATTGTGATGGATACATTCCATTGAATGATTGGTTCTATTGTTGATTAGAAATCAAATTGTGATTATGAATCTCAATATACATCTTGTGGACATTAAATTCTACGTTAACCAACATTGGATTTGCCACTAGCACATGAAATTCAAAATTCATTAATTGAATTTGCCGATTTCTTGTTTCCAGCGTTGGTATGATTATAAATGAGAGGACATTGATTGAGGCTTTCCAGAAGTAATTAATAGTGAAATATATATATATATATATATATATATATATATATATATATATATATATATATATATATATATATGAGACAGGATCCGGTGACACCGGTGTCAAAAAAAAAGTTTGACACCTCATCTGAGAGCTGTTAGATTAAAAAAATCAACGATTCTGATTTGTAAGCATGTGACACCATTGATCTTTTTTGATCTAACGGCTCTCAGATGAGGTGTCAAATTTCAACTTTGACATCTGAGAGCCGTTAGATTAAAAAAAATCAATGGTGTCACATGCTTACAAATCAGAGCCGTTGATCTTTTTTGATCTAAGGGCTCTCAGAAGAGGTGTTAAATTTCAAATTTGACACCGGTGTCAAATTTCAAATTTGACAACTCATCTGAGAACCGTTGGATTCAAAAAGATCAATGGTGTCACATGCTTACAAATCAGAGTCGTTGATCTTTTTTGATCTAACGGCTCTCAGATAAGGTGTCAAACTTCAAATTTGACACCGGTGTCAAATGATCCTACCTTATCTATATATATATATAGGGTTTTATAATTCTCATTTAACATGAGAATTATAATTTTCCTACACACCCTTCGATTTCCGTGCTGACATGGGTCCTACATATAATTTTTTCTTACACATGGGTCCCACATGCTTTTTATCTCTACAACACGAGATTTCAATTCTCCTTCAACATGAGAATTATAAAACCCATATATATATATATATATATATATATATATATATATATGGGTTTGTGTTTTCAAAAGTTACTTTAGATAACTTTATCTAATGTTCATCAAAACGACGTCGTTTTGGGACGGAAATCATGGTGTTTTTGTAATTTTAATTTATTTTAGGGTTATAATAGTTTTTATCATTCTAATTTTTAAATTTTTCAACCTCAAAACGACGTCGTTTTGATGAACATTAGATAAAGTTATCTAAAGTAACATTAGATACTTTTTTTATATATATATATATATATATATATATATATATATATATATATATATATAGGGGTAGGATTCTATCATGCACGGACACGGGACACGACACGACACGACACGACACGCCGACACGTTAATTCTAAAAAGTGTCATATTTCGACACGTTGGGACACGTTTTGATATTAAATAATTTTTTTAATATATATAATATAATTTATATTTAATACATACAAAAGTGCATAATAAGTCATATAACCAATCAAATATTTAAATTTCATAACATAAATATAAATAATTTTTCGTACTTTGTTAAATTTTCATGTCAAATTTCATAAAAAAAAAAAATAATTTATAAATTATTTATTTTATATTTAGTTAACAAAATAAAATTAAGATTTAAAAAAAAAAAAAAAAAAAAAAAACGTGTCCGAGCATTGACCGTGTTTCCGAAATAGTTGATTGCATGTCGGAAAATATGTCGGAACGTGTCGGAGAGTTGTCCGCGTGTCCCCAAATGTTGAACGCGTGTCGGACGCGTGTCCGAGCGTGTCCGTGTCGGACGCGTGTCCATGTCGGACACATGTCCGACACGTAAATTTTCAAAAAAACACGTGTCCGTGCTATGGAGGTAGGATTCTTTGACATTAGTGTCAAATTTGAAGTTTCACACCTCATCTGAGAGCCATTAGATAAAAAAAGATCAATGATCTTTTTTGATCTAATGGTTCTTAGATGAGGAGTTAAATTTTAAATTTGACACTAGTATGAAAGGATCATACCTTTTATAGGTTTGATTTTCTCACGTTGCATGAGAATTGAATTTAACTCAACTAGTGGTGGGTCCCATATTTATTAAAAATAAAGTTTTGCACACAAACTAAAAGGATAATTGAATTCTATGCATAGTAAGAAAATGTTTTCCCGAGAAGAGAAACTTTGTTATTGGGAACTTATGTTGCACCGACACGGGACACGAGATACGACACGACACTCCGGCACGTTAATTCTAAAAAATGTTAAATTTCAACACGTTATGACACGTTTTGATATTATATAATATTTTTAATTTATGTAGTGTATATTATATTTAATATTCAATAATTTAGCAAAAAATAAACCTAAACATATAATACTCATCAATCTTGCAAAGAAACATAAGATATTCAAAATATTTATATTAAACTCAATAAAATAGTAATCGTAATTCAACGAATCTAATAGTTGAAACTCAAAATACAACGCAACGTAACCTTTGAATATTTTTTAAATCTTTACAATGAGTGTTGGAGTGTTGAGAAGTGTCAGACTGTCCGGTAAGTGTCAGGAGGCACTTCAATAATTTTAAAGTGTGGTGCTTCGTAATTGGAAACGAACATGCCAGAGGTTGTTCTGATTTCACTCAACTTTCTCTCTACAGACATATTATCCGCTACCGCAGATCTTTTCAGCTCCGATTTGGCAACGGAAATCAAGTGGTCGCATTCCAATTCCGTGAGGAAACCTTCGTAAACGTAAACGAAAGCTCTGCAACACACCGCACCGCACCAAATCCAAATCATTATCAATCCCCTCACAATTGAGTTTCGTAAGCAAAGGCTTCCACGAAACCGGTTTGGCCTTGGAAGGGTCGATAATCGCACTTGCGGAACCAGCGTAGGAGCTCCACGCTCCATGCCATTGGCATATCAACTACAACACCAACAACAACACCGAACCCTATTCATCACCATTTTCTTTTCTTTTCAATTTCAACTAACTTTATAACTTTGCCTTTATAGTTTACACCTGAAACTTTCATTCTTAATTTTATCTCTACTTGTCTTAAATATTAGGATTACCAAACTATATCGCTTTTCATGTTTATTTTCGATTTTTTGTAAGTAATTATTTGTCATAATTAAAACTTTTTCAATGATTTTAAATAAACAATGTAATTCCATGTGATCATATTATGTGCCACATTCTGATCAAAACATGTTAATGTATCTGATGCCTAGATTCTCATAAATGAAATTGTTTAAATGTCATTGCAATTAGAAGTTCTGTTTTCTGTATCAAACAAAAGAGACAAGATTAGTGAATATTAAATATAAATCACTTAACACAAATTGAACAGTTATAGGAGTTTTTCTTGGGTAGAACTGCTTATGGTTACAAGTTACAACAGAAAGATTAAAAAAAAACTTGCTGAAAATGGCATGTTCATTTGATGATGATCATTGAAGCTGTGTGGATACGATGGAAATAGGTAATCCCCACTTAAGACAACCATCCTGAAGGTTTAATTGGAGGTCACAAATTATATCCTAACTTCAACACCGTTTTGATTAAATAAAATATTGAAAATATGCTGCTTGCACCTAAGTTTCTGCCTTAACCTATTCAACCCATGTTTTCTGGCCAGCTCCGGATCCCCAAGTAGAATCAGATCATGTTCTGCAAAATAAATCACTGCCCTTTAATTTCAACTTGTGCAGTTCCATGTATGACACTATATCTGAATCACAGGCCATACATTCTAGTTTTCATTGCTATCTTCTTTGATAGAATTACTGGTGCCTAGAATAGTCTCCATATGTCGATCCATCTCATTCAAATACTTAGTTGAGTTGTACTCTTCTGCATCATAGAGTTCTACAGAGTAGGTCCTCTGAAGTTTTGACTTTTGTTGTTCTTTTATGATTTCCAAGCTCTCTTCTTCACCTCTTAGTATTTGTAACACCTGTATTCAATCATGAAAAAAATACGTGCTCTATATCAGTTGACTATCATCATTAGCAGTGTGTTGGATACATCAGATTCCTCATAGGATTAAAAGCTTTTGTTTATTTCAATGCTTAATCATTTTTGCAGCTATTTTTCCTTCACATTGTTAGTCATTTTTTAGAGAAAAAAATAAAATAAAATAAAAAATATATATATCATAGTAAGATGACTGGATTCTATTAATTAAGTCGGATGAATGGTTTGGTTAACATGAGAAGTCACATGTTATTAGAAACCATACAGCAAAGAAGGATGAGGTCTGCATATCTTTTGTGTTGACTAAATAAAACTTCTAACTGAATAAAGGACATGCCTGGCTCATTTGTGGTCGCTGAATTGAAGTCTGGTCTATACACAGAGAAGCTGCTAAGATTACAAGTTTCATCTGCTCTTCATCATAAGCATCAGCCAAAGTTGGATCCACAAGCTCTTTGATGTTGTTTGCAGATAGCAAAGGTTTTGCCTGTAATAATTTTAACAGAGAACATTAGAATTGACATTTTCAATATCAACATTAACTTCACCTTTATTCCAAACTTGTAAGACATCAACATTTTCATTTTAAGATGATAAAAAAAATCAGTATATTTGTATGTGCAATGGCAGACTTACCCACATCACCAGACTTTTCTGTGAGCTATCCAAAGCTTGTCGCCCAGTAATGAGCTCCAATAATAGCACACCATAAGCGTAGACATCAGTCTTTTCATCCACTATACCGTGCATGAAGAATTCAGGAGGAAGGTAGCTGTTGTGACATCAAAGTTCATTGCAAAAGGAAAACAGAAAATAAAATGGTTAAATAACAGGTTAAAAGAGAGAGATAGAGAGATTATAATTACTGAACACTTCGAAAACTAGTGAAGCTGTTAAATATACAAACCCGAATGTGCCTTCCACTTTGGAGACAGTATGATGAGTCCATTGGTCAGGTAACCACTTTGCAAGCCCAAAATCAGATATCTGGGGTAAGATTGACATTAAAATTGTACCGAGAAACTTAGATGAAACAATTAAGATTGTAATCTGATTTATAACATAAGTTCATAATTGCTGAAAATTGAACGTTCCATAGTCAGATTTGTCAGGCTTAAGAGTCACCTGAGGCTCAAAATCCTCTGAGAGCAGTATATTAGAAGCCTTGATATCTTTGTGAATAATCCTTCTTTGACATCCCACATGCAGATAGCGAAGGCCCACAGCAGTCCCCAAAGCAATCTTATATCTGATGCTCCAACTCAGTTTCTCTCTAGGTCCTGAAATCATGCAAGGGAAAGAAACCAATTAACTTTTATCTTCCCAAAACTAGTCTGGCATTTCAGAAACTTTAAAAAATGGTTTAACATACCATAAAGTATGGATGACAAGCTGCCATGTGGAGACAACTGAAGAACAAGAAACATTCCCCCTTCAACACCATATCCAATCAATCTAGCAATATTGGGGTGGTCCACGTGCACTATAATGCCAAGCTCAGACAAGAAATCTGCAGTCATTTCTTCTTGGTTCCCTCTTGTTAGCCGTTTAATGGCAACAAAGTTTCCATCTTCCAATTTGCCTAAGTAAACCTCAGCATAGCCTCCCTCCCCAATCAAATTATCTTCAAAAATAAATATATAGAGCAGCTTATCAGCCTAGCAAGCATGATGTCAATATGTCTTCATGAAAAATATAAAAAAGAAAAAGAAAAAAGGTTTTCTTGCAGTTACTTAGATTAGCTAACAAAGCAATAGCTTTTTTTGTCCAACAGTAATTTGATTTCCTAAGAAAAGAATATCATACCATGGCTAAAGTCATTGGTTGCAGACTGGATTTCTGAGAGAGTGAAATTTTTCCAGGAGGATTTGAAGCCGCAAAACTCAGTGTCAAAAGATGACTGAAGAGCTGGAGAATTCAGAGATGGAATCAGGTCCTCCCTGATTCTTTTGCTCTTTCTTCTAGTTAGTTTTGGAACATTTTTAAGTGGATGAAAGGTTTGGAAGGGCATTTGGGACCCTTTCTTCAGCAATTTAAAGAAACCACGCCACTGGTTATTATTATTACTGTCTGTTGAACCTGGTTGACCCTCTGAATCAGAAGTGCTGGCCCTTGAACTTGGGGTTCCAGATTCTAGACTCCTAGGAGAGTACTCAGGTAGCCGTCCCTCTTCAATGTCTAAAGCTGCCAAGTCTAATATGGTATTCATTGCAGCATTAGTACAATAAATAAACCATTATCTAGAAAGAGTAAGAAGGTTCAACATGCTTTATAGCAAAGGCCATGAAAAGCCAAACTTTTGGAAAACAGAATAGAAAAAGAAAAAAGTAAAGGGAATTTTACCAATACTTGAAAATGAATCAGAAAACCCAGGTCGTGGTCGTCTAGTTCTTAAAGAAGGACTCTCCTTTTCATTTATTTGTTTTCTTTCTGACTTGTGGACGCCATTGCTGCCAATATAATCTTCTTTGTCAGCATATAACAAATTAAAGAATGTGACACAATGGACATGGCCTAAGAGACTAAAAACAAATTCCAATAAACCATATATGATCAAAAGGCACCGACACCCAATAATGTAGGCACAATTAAATAACAAAAAAAAAAAAAAAATTGTGCCAAAAGAAGAGACCCCAAAAAATATCAACGCAACATAAACACATGGTTGAAAACTTAATTATAAGGAATGAAGGGGAAAAATAATAATAAACGTAAGAACCTACTAGTCTGTTGCTTTGAAGGCCATTGCATGTCACGTTAAATTAATAGATTATGATTATTAAGGAAACATTAACAATAATACAAATAAAAAAAGCACAGATTCTTGAAACTAATAGAAGAAACACGTACAAAGTGAGAGAAGATGCATGAGAATGAGATGAGAAGGTTACGTTGCATGAGATAAGAAAGAGAAGGGAAAGGGAAAGGGTTACCTCGAGGAAGCTTGTGGTTCTCGTTCATCGTTCATGGTGGCGAAGGGAGTCTGCGAGAACCAAAAGGGTAACCACGGGAATGACGCGCACGCATAGAGTCAGAGAGGAAGACAAGACAAAGAGAGATGAAGAGACATCAAAGTAGCGGTTCGCATGATTTTTCTGTGCCGTCCTTCCTTCCTACGATAATAATACTAACACGTTCTTAATACTACCACACCTTTTTTTTATGCCACAAATACGCCTTTAATTGCTCTTTCATTCTTTCTTCTTCAATCTTCATGCCTTTTCCCTTCTTTTATATATGTATATATATAATGTAAAATGTTAAATAAATAAAAAATAAGTTAGTGCATAATTAGTCGGGTTTAATTAGGGGTGTAAATCAAATAAGTTAGTGGATAACAGTATGGCCTAATCTATATCAAGTCAAATTAGACTTATTACGTATAATTAAATAGAATAGATTTAAGTTTTTTTTAAAAAAAAATTATTTAAAAAACAAGACGTAGATATTTTTTTATATGTCGGGTATATAAGTTTACAGTTCAGTCTTATATTATTTATTTTAATAATTTTTGATAATATATTAAAATTATTTAATTTTTTAATTATTAAATATTTAATAGATTTAAATAAACTAACACCCATATATGGAAAATATTTGACACACCCTAATTAGCACTGTATAGCTGTTTTGCTTTTCAAGAGAATATTCTCCTTCTGAGGACGAGCAACCTCCCCCGCTCTCGCATGTCTTTGCCACGTGGACGTGGAGCCAACCAATGGCCTTTTTCTTTCTGCCATAATAAATGGCTGTATAAGAATATTAAATAGGATACTTATAAAATAAAGAGACAAATTAATTATGAAGTATAAAGAAATAGATAAATTAATCCTAAGAAATCCTCCTAGATAGTTATCTTTATTCCTAATACCAACATCTAACAGTGTTGAACTTGAACAGTCCAAGAATAATTACCAAAGATTAAAAAAAAAATTGGAAAATTGTTAGAATTCCACAATAGCACAAATCGAAAAATAAAAGAGAAAGAGAAGAAAATTTTGACAGTAATTTATCTTGGTTTACTCAATTTAGTCTACGTCTAGCTTGTTTATACTATATTCACCTCACCGTCATTTACAAGTCACGTCACTCGTTTTACAAGAAAATATATATAGAATTTAAAAAATCTAACGGCAGCTATTCATGGGTCTAAGTTCAAACTATTAAGAAAAATAAAATTACGACAAGTCAAAAGTCCACAATAGTACTAGACTTCTATGGGTTCGGGGCGTTGCCTCTACACCCTGCCGGGTCCCAGATCTCCACATGCTCACCTGGTTGTCTTTATGCTAACTCCGTCAATAAGAGGAAATATGAGCCATATTCAACAAAAATCATGTGAAGAATCTGATCAATAAACATGGGATGTTCCTAGCTAGTGTCTGAATCAAGTTTGATAGTAACTCAATTGAAATAAATGAGATCAAAGGTTTATGGGGATCTACTTATAGCTCAATGTGGACACACTTAACCAAAGCCTTGCTTTCAGATGCATAAAGCCAGACAGCCTTTAAGGGGAAAATGCCTTGGGTTGAAGCAATTCAGATTAAATAAATTGGATGGAAAATCAATATAGATTTTGTTATTTATTACAAGGCCTTGGAATGTAGAATCCCAGCTTAGGCTTCTTTCTTTTGGAACTCTTGTTAATGACGCTATTTATTAATGAAATGGTTTTCTTACATGTAATAGGTTCTAAGAAATCGTGAAAAATGGATCACTTTTTAAGCGTGTTGGTTTCTTGCAAATAAAAAAAGTCCACAGGGGATGCCACGTTTAACACTTTCTGGGGAAGTTTGAAGCCTTTCTACTTTCTATCATATGGTTTTTCATCTATAGAAATCAGCAAATTAGAGAAATGACCATTATGAAGATAGTACTGAGTATTAGCCATTCATAAAGAGTATGCATTGGTGTTTCATTTATGAGGTGACAAATTTTCAAATCTTATTAAAAACAAGTGGAATGAGAAGAAGATATACTATATTATTATCCCATGGATGAACTAAAAAAAGAGTACAATCCCTTAAAAGAACACAAACGGTCACCCTATTGTCTAATTAAAAAAACTCATTCCTCATTTCAAATTAACAGGCTTGGAAGTTCAAAGATTAGTTTGTCACGCAACAATTAAGATGTAATTTACAGTGTTGAAAAAGTTGCTAAAGTAAAGGAAATATCAGATGTTACAAACTAGGAATAAAACTATGTAATAAATCTTCCGCAAGGCAATGTTAATGGACATTGCGACTAATCAATCCCTCAAATATAGCATAGAGGTCCTTGTTTTCAGGTCCAAAGATCTCATCAGCTTTCTGTAGTGTCTCCTGCAATTTTACACATACACAGAGATACAAGCGGCAATTAGCTGAAATTTAGACACACAGGCTACCGTGATAAAAGGGGAGTGAGCGAGAGGGGGAAGCAGGAGGAATCACCTCTTTGGTTTGTTTATGGGAATTCAGTTCCTTAACATTTGCTAAAAATGCACCAAACTGCTCATAAGACAAACGACTCCTAATCATAACAAACAGGAGAAAATAAATGAAGGATACCAAGTTAAGTATCAAACACAATTTAATATTAGTGCTACCAGGTTGAAGTGCTGTTACTTAGAATTACTTCAAATTCAAAGACAAAAAAAGAACATTAAATGATATAATATTATATTGACAAAAGTTCGAGAGATTCATTGTAGCATAGCTAATTTCTATACCCAAAAAAAATGTTCGGATAGATTTTGTGTTTCTACGTAACGAGAATAGATTATTTCGATTTGAGAAGCAAATGAAGTTGAATCTACTTCATGAATATCATGTTAATTTGCAAATTGTTTAACAGCTGAAATTACTTATCAACACTGGTATTTGGATAGCTAAAACCAAGGATCCTGAAGATATTTTTCTAAATTATAGAAACAGTGGCATGCTCGCGTAAATCTACTGATGTTGGCATAACTCGGTAGAAATTCAAGCTTTTTGAAATTTAGTTCCATAATTTGCTAAGTTCTCAAATACAAGTACCCTCACCTGACTTGGCGAAAGAACTCCTTTCCATCCACCCGTGTTCGTCCTGAGACAGTTAAGAAAGAAAAACTTTTGAGTACATATCAAGCATTCCTTCCTTCATGTGCATGAAAGATCCAGGAAAGTAACCCACCACAGAGTGACCAAATGAATTTTTTTAAAAAACAATCTGCTAGCACGAATGCAACAAAATCACGGATTTTAAAGAAAGCACCTGTTTGTGAACCTGTGTCAGAGCTTGACATTGAATCATGACTCGAGGAAAACACTGAAGACCTATCATACCCTCTTGAGGTTGAAAAGGAAATTGAATGCCGCCTTGGAGACACAGGTTTTGATGTTCTTGATGGGGATACTGATGCAGACAAACTAGGAGGGGAACCAGGGGGAGTAATGCGAGGGGTGCTAGTTTGGGATGCTAAGAGGAGATTATGTGACACTCGAGATCTTGCGGCTGCATATTTGGAAATAGAAAAGAAAATCAAGAAAGGTCAAGGTACACACATACATAATTATGCTTGTTCACTTTTCAGCAATACCGAACCAATATTAGATGATAGTACATACCATCAGACTCACGATCCTCAGCAAAAGAATTTCCTGTGTTGGGCAATGAAGCATCTTCATCTGCAATGAAATGAGAACATATCAAAACCCAAAATGAGAAAAATGCAGCTGAGTGGCCTCAACAAATTGTTTTTCTTATCCTTTCCCTCTGCATCAAATACAAGCACTAGCATCCAATTGGAGGCTTAAAATAATTAAATTGATTTATTTGCAGCTTATTCACAGTAAGATTAAAAGATCACTTGGGGATTCTCAGCCAAAAATGATGTTGGAAGTTGTAACTAGACTAATAGATCAAATTTGTGTGAACAATTAAGCAATTTTAAATCTTGTTTGTTTTATGTTGGAGAGACTGGGAACAGGACAGATTTAAATCCTCTTCTATTCTTTCCAAACATGACAATTAATGATCAAAGAGAGAAAGACACAAACAACTCTTATGCAGGATTTGCAGGCCCCTGTGCAGGAAAAGGTAGGTCCATATAGAGCGAAACTTGTGTTATTCTCCCTCCAAACACGATGCTATCATGTTCCTAGGGAAAAGAATAGGATGCAAATACTAATTGTCATTTTTTTTTAATAATTATAAGCCAATACTAATTAAAGCACTGGAAACACAAAAGTGTTGTATATGCCTTAAAGGACATTCCAAAATCTTCAGAAGGAAAATTTCTTGAGTGCATGCCAGTACTGTATATAGTCCTTATGGTAAGGAAATGAGCTTGAAAGAATTAGACGTGCTATACTGCCAATGAATCTACAAGTGCGTGCAAACCCAGAGTAGAGCATTCACAGTCTCATCCCATAAACAAAATAAATGGAGTAAATGGCTTAAAAATGTAATCTACATATGGATAATTCCTTGGTGCCACAAATAACACACATTCACGAGAACTAAGTTCATCGTATTAGACAACCTAATCTAGACTTTAGGTATGCTCCTGATTTGGAGAAACTTTTTAGTACACTTCATTTATACAAGTTGCCTAGACATAGTTGTTAAGATTGTGATTAGAGAATAATATTAGTTAGATATAGCTTTATTCTTATCTTTCTTTTTCTGTTGTAACAAACCACGTGAAGTAGTGGTGCCTTTTTCTTTGGTTCAATTTGTTACAGTTTGTTAGGAGATTCTTTTTGCATTTCACTCTCTTGTGTATATATATCAGAGATACCTTCTGTAATCAATATAATGAATATACAATTTTTAATTCTTTCTTCTAATATGGTATCAAGAGCAACTAGGTTCTTTCCATTTTTTCTCTGATTTTTTGCCATGGCCAAGGGCCAGCAACCTCCGAAACCCACCACCACAAATCCGGTTGAGGACACAAATAGTCCATATTTTCTGCACAATGGCGATCATCCAGGTCTTGTGCTTGTCACTCATCTTCTCACTGGAACGAACTACCACACATGGAACAGAGCTATGTCCATGGCTCTCACTGCTAAGAACAAATACCAATTCGTTGATGGATCTCTTCCTCAACCAGAGTCAGATGATTTACTTTCTTCTTTTTGGATTCGATGCAACAACATGGTCACTTCTTGGTTATTAAATTCCATTGCTCGTGAGATTGCTGATAGTCTCCTATACATACCCACTGCAGCAGGGATCTGGGTGGATCTCAAGGAACGCTTTCAGCAAGGGAATGGTCCCAGGATTTTTCAGTTGAAATCCCAAATCACCACACTCACTCAAGGAGCTCTTGATGTGAACACCTATTATACACGATTAAAGACACTATGGGATGAGTTAAAGGAATTTGAACCTCTGCCTTCCTACACTTGTGGTGGATTGAAGGCTTGGACTCTGTACAGAGAACAGGAACGTTCCCTTCAATTTCTAATGGGTCTTAATGACTCCTTCTCTTCTACACGAGCACAGATCTTGCTTATGGACCCATTACCATCTCTTGGTAGGGTTTTCTCACTTGTTGTGCAAGAAGAACGTCAGAGAAACATTCATTGCCACAATTCAGTTGGGTTCCCTTCATCTATGCCTACTGTCAACGCCACTCAGATGCCGGGAAAACCTCGCCGTCCATTTTGCACTCATTGTTCCATGACAGGGCACACCATCGAAAAATGCTTCCGCCTTCATGGATACCCACCTGGTTTCAAGGGAAGGATGAAGAACAATCCTGGTCAGGGGAATACTAGTCCCATTTCGGGCCACAACTACACTGCTTCTGTTTCAGCAGATGGGCCATTTTCTACTTGTGGTCCAATAGGCCCAAATCCACATCTCACCCCAAATCAAGTCTCTCAACTCCTAGCATTGCTCCACTCTTCAGGCACTACTTCACCAGCCCATAACACCGTGTCAATGTCTCCATCTCACACAACTCACATCTCTTCCACCTTCGTTGAGTCACCTCCAGTAGATTCCGCTTCTGTCTCCTCTGTTGCACACGTGTCCGGTGAGTCACCTTCATTTTCTTCTTCAGCCTGGATCTTAGATACAGGTGCAACACATCATGTATGTTGCGACCTCAAGCAATTTCTTTCCTCTTCTCCTCTTGTTGATTTCTTTGTCAATCTACCCAACGGTACTTCTATTTCAGTGCCACGATTGGGTTCTGTCCGCATTTCTCCCAATTTAATTTTACCATCTGTGTTGTATGTGCCAGATTTTACATATAATCTTTTATCTGTCAGTTGTTTGAAATCTGTCTTCAAACTCAATATCTCTTTTTCATCCTCTTCGTGTGTTTTGCAGGATCTTACCACGGGCCACACGATTGGGACGGCTGAGAGACAAGGTAATTTGTATGTCCTACATGCCGTCTCCAATGGTCCTGAAGCACAGGTCTCATCCACAAAATTATCCTCTCTCTGGCACATGCGTTTGGGTCATCCCTCTTTTTCCCGTTTACATGTTTTACAGCATATGTTGCATTTGCCTTCAATTCCAAACACCTTTTGTAATGTGTGTCCTTTGTCTAAACAGAGGCGTTTGCCTTTTGTTTCAAATAATAACATGAGTTCTTCACCTTTTGATTTGGTTCATTTGGATATATGGGGTCCTTTTTCACCTGTCTCTGTTGATGGTTTTCATTATTTCTTAACCATTGTTGATGATTGCAGCAGGTATACTTGGCTTTATTTCTTACGATCCAAATCTGATGTTTTACAAATTTTTCCTGAGTTTCATACTATGATTAACACTCAGTTCCATGTGAATATTAAGGCTGTCCGGTCTGATAATGCTCCGGAATTTAATTTCTCTGAATTTTTCAAAATGAAAGGTATTATGTCTTACCATTCCTGTGTTGATAGGCCCCAGCAAAATGTTGTGGTAGAACGTAAGCATCAACACTTGCTTAATGTGGCAAGGTCTCTCCAATTCCAGTCAAATGTACCTCTTGGTTACTGGGCAGACTGTGTACAAACGGCTGTGTATTTAATCAACCGCTTGCCATCTACATTGTTGACTGACAAATCCCCTTTTGAAGTGCTGATGGGGAAGCCTCCTTCCTATTCACATCTTCGGACATTTGGGTGTCTATGTTATGTATCTACATTGCCTCGTGATCGTCACAAATTTTCTCCACGAGCTTTTCCTGGTGTGTTTCTTGGATATCCGCAAGGATACAAAGCCTACAAGGTGTTGAATGTGGCAACCAACAAAGTCTTCATATCAAGGGATGTTGTTTTTCATGAGCATGAGTTCCCTTTCAAGCATCTACCTGATTCTTCTCCTACTGTATTTGATGATTCTGTTTTGCCTATGCAAGTACCTTCCACCCTTCCTATCATGGACGTGACTTCTGCATTGCCTTCACAGCCACTTGCTACTCGCAGAACCTCCACTAGAGATGTTCATCCTCCTTCTCATTTAAGAGACTATCATTGCTACTCTGTACCATCTTCTACACAGCATCCTCTTGAGTCTGTTCTCTCAAGTTCTCGCCTCTCTGCTTCTTATGCATCTTTCATTGGCTCGGTCACATTACATCCAGAGCCCTCCTCTTTCTATGAAGCTGTTAAAGTTCCCTCATGGCAGCAAGCAATGCAATTGGAGATTAATGCTTTGGAAACAAATGGAACTTGGTCTCTTGTTCCATTGCCACCTAATAAAAGGGCCATCGGTTGCAAATGGGTCTACAAAGTAAAGCTTCATGCAGATGGTACCCTGGAACGTTATAAAGCTCGTTTAGTGGCTCAAGGTTTCAATCGACAAGAGGGAGTGGATTTTTTTGATACATTCTCTCCAGTAGCAAAAGTAACATCTGTTCGTTTATTGCTTGCTTTGGCCTCCTTGCGTGGCTGGTCCCTTACTCATTTAGACATCAATAACGCTTTTCTCCATGGTGAGTTAACTGAAGAAGTGTACATGGTTCCACCTCTCGGTTATCTCCATGAGGGGGAGCCTGTATCATCAAATATGGTTTGTAAGTTACATAAGTCCTTGTATGGACTTAAACAGGCATCAAGGCAGTGGTTCCATAAATTTTCTCAGGTTTTAATTACTCATGGTTTCAAACAATCCATTGGAGATTCTTCTCTCTTTATTAAGAACAAAAGCGGATGTTTTCTTGCTGTTTTGGTGTATGTAGATGACATCATAGTGGCTGGAAATAATGATTCAGAAGTGCAGCAACTGAAAGATTACTTGAACAATCAATTTAAATTGAAGGACCTTGGTGATTTGAAGTATTTCCTTGGATTGGAAGTTGCACGTTCATGCAAAGGGATTTCCATTTGCCAAAGAGGATATGCACTACAGATTTTAAAAGATGCTGGAGTTACTGGTTGTAAATCCAAAGCTACTCCAATGGAACCAAATATCAAGTTGTCTCAAGAGGAGGGTGACTTGTTAGATGATCCAGTTTCTTACAGGAGACTAATTGGACGGTTGTTATACTTAACCATTAGTAGACCAGATTTGTCATATGCTGTAAATAAACTTAGCCAGTTTCTTGCTCATCCGAGGGTACCACATCTTCATGCTGTTCATAGGTTACTGCAATATGTCAAAGGGACAGTTGGACAAGGCATTTTTTACCCTAGTTCTGGACAATTGAAGTTAAGAGCTTTTTCTGACTCAGATTGGGGATCATGCACAGACACTAGAAGATCAATTACTGGTTTTTGTGTTTTTCTAGGAGACTCATTGATAAGTTGGAAGTCAAAGAAACAACCAACAGTGGCTAGATCATCAGCTGAGGCCGAGTATAGAGCAATGGCTAATGTGACATGTGAATTAATTTGGCTACGATCTCTTTTGCTTGATTTTGGCATACTGCATCAAGAACCTTGCTTGATTTTTTGTGATAATCAAGCAGCCCTACACATTGCAGAAAATTCAGTTTTTCATGAGAGGACTAAACACATAGAGATAGATTGTCACTTGGTTAGAGAAAAGGTGTCAAAAGGGGAGGTAAAGGTGATGTATATTCCTTCTCAGCTACAGCAGGCAAATTTGCTTACCAAGCCATTATTTCCTGGACAATTTCAAACATTGCTTGACAAGATGAGAGTGTTGAATATACACTCTCCATCTTGAGGGGGAGTGTTAAGATTGTGATTAGAGAATAATATTAGTTAGATATAGCTTTATTCTTATCTTTCTTTTTCTGTTGTAACAAATCACGTGAAGTAGTGGTGCCTTTTTCTTTGGTTCAATTTGTTACAGTTTGTTAGGAGATTCTTTTTGCATTTCACTCTCTTGTGTATATATATCGGAGATACCTTCTGTAATCAATATAATGAATATACAGTTTTTAATTCTTTCTTCTAATAATAGTCAATTGATAATAGAAACATTATTATTTGGCACAAAAACTGATATAATTATTTAAGGGTTTGTTTTTTATGCCGTTATTGCAGATAAATTATCTACAGTAAGTCCAATACGACGTAGTTTTGAGGCGGAAATCATGGTATTTTTGTAAATTTAATTTATTTCAGAGTTATTATAGTCTTTATAATTATAATTTTCTAATCTTTCGATTCCAAAATGACGTCGTTTTGAAAGTAAATGCAGATAACTTATCTGCAATAACTGCAGAAATATTTTCCCTGATTATTTATTACAAAATAATAATGTATTCTTTATTTTGCCGATTGGTGGTGGCATGTGTGCCACTAATGAAAAAAAAAAATTATTGTTTGCATAAAGGAACAAAGAATCAACAGAAATGCAAATAGCAAAGGTGAATAGTACAAGAGTTGAAACTTGAAAGTACCTCCAAGCTGCGATGAAGAAGTGATGCTTGCTCGACTATGTAACTTAGCAACAATGTCTGGCGCTCCTCCCTATGCCAAACACCAGTGCAAGCCAAATGTTACATCCAGCAATAACGTACGTCCAAATAAATAGCATTATAGCTACTACTACTACTATAGACAATTCGGCCATAGTAATTTTTAATTAATTATTTTTTAGAACAGACATGGTAATCATTGACAATTCAATAAGATATATATCAACCCCGAAAAATGATATTGCTTATGAGAGTTTTTCTACCAAAGTTATCAGAAAACTAGATAAGATCAAAAAACTTCTTAACCATAAGGAACCGCATTAAGATAATAGATAATAGCAATAATAACAACATCAACATACAGAATTTTCTTCATCCTCTTTAAGTGATTGCATAAGCGTTCTTCTGAAAACCTCCAACTGCATGCATTTACAATAAGAACCCATCAGTCCAACAATGAACCACATTCCATACAGCAATAATAATAATATAAATTAAATTTAAATGGAACTATCGAGTATCTTTATTTTTAAATTTAGTTAAAATTTTAAAAAATATTCAAAATTTATAAAAAATATTAAATCAAAATTTGCACCTTGGAGACATCTCTACTGAGCTTTCTTACGGTGTTGGAAAGAAAAGCATTCTCCTTGAGCAAGCTCTCCTATGATTTCAAGCGGAACAAAAATTAAAAAAAAAAGAAAAGGTTCGTGCAAATTGAACCGGGTCAGGGAGCGGGTCGGACCTTGTCTTGTTCGGCGCGAGCCAGCTTTTCAGCGGTTTCGGAGAGGGTGGCGTCGAGGGACTCCACCTGAGACTGGAGGTCAGAGATGAGGCTGTCCTTGTCGGCGAGCTCGGCGCGTAGAGCCGACGACTCTGATTCGAGCGAGTTGACACGTGTCGACAGCGCAATAGAGGTGATCTTGCGGGCCACATTGAGCTGCTCGAAAGGATCCGACGGTAGAATTTGCAGCAACTCCTCAGGAAGATTCAAGTTCGAATCACTCGATTCAATCAACAACATTTCACCCCTCTTCTGCTTCACTCTTTTTTTATTTTTGCTATATTTTATATTACATTTTAATTTTTATTTTTTGTACAAATTATTTTGGTTTATTTTATTTTGTATTTCTGTGCTGTTATAGAGTTGTTGTTTTATTCATGATTGTGTGATGGAAGAGGTTTTATCTTTATCCTTTTTTTCATTTATGAATTTCTTTTGTTTTATTTGTTGCCAAGATATGTGGCTTGATAAGGTTTGAGAATGGATAGGACTTGCAGTAGAGACAAAAAGAGAGTAATGGTTATTAGCTCTTCCATTTCTGTGACTCAAAACTCATAATACAAGTTCTTATATATACGTCACTGTTTTGTGCATACTTATGCTTGATTCTGTTATTGAGCATTTTCTTAACTTGAATAATATGGAGAGTAGGGGACATTACATTAATTGCTCTGACTTGGGAACCAGAAAGAGTAAAATATGTTCTGCTAGTATGCCATGCTAGTTACATACTTACATTACATGCTTCTTTTGATTTTGTGGTGTGGAGCGGGATTAGACATTTTGTGGTGTCTAGGAGATTACCACAGCATATTCTTTTGGGGTGGGCTTTATGTGACAAGGATCTAAAAGGTTTCGTGTCTTCATGGACATTTAGTCATTTGACTTAACTGAGCCCAAAATTATTCATTGGGCTATAAGATGTGTACTTAAAAACGTAACCATGATTTTTTAGTGATGTAATAATGATGGAATTTGTGTTAAAGAATAATATAAATCATTAAAAAAGTCTTCACCAAATACTTTAAGGTTTTAGGTTTGGGATAGGATATTGTGACACCCAAGTTATGTTACACACATGTGACACTCAGTCAATCTCACCGTTAGATCGCTTATGTTGATCCAACGGTTATATTTATTTTCATCTTTGTATGGTCATGATTTCTCAAATTTAATATTTTATATTTATTTCTACCTTTGTATGGTTATGATTTCTCATATTTAATGCTTTCACTTTAAATTTGGAAAATCATGACCATACAAAGATGAAAATAAATATAACCGTTGGATCAACATAAACGATCTAACGGTGAGATTGACTGGGTGTCACATGGGTGTAATATAACTTGGGTGTCACAATATCCTATCCCTTTAGGTTTAATTGGTTCTTTACATGGTATCAGAGTATGATGACCACAAGGTCACGATCAATTATGACCATCCCCATTTTCTAGTGGAATAAAATAAAAGCACAAAAAGTAATAATATTCACACTTTAAGCTCAAAGAACTCTTGCGTCAGGGGGAGTGTGTTAGAGAATAAGGTCTTCATCCAATACCTTAAGGTTTTGGATTGAAATAGTTCTTTATATGTTATCAGAGTTTCCTTAACCACAAGGTCAAGGGTTCAATTATATTATTCTCTAATACTTCTCGTCACGCAAGAGCCTTTGGGCTTGAAGCGTGGATATTGCACATGTCCAAATTTTAGTTTACCTTTTTACTTATTTAATTCTATTAGAAAGTGATGAGGTGAGGATCGAACTCGTAACCTAATCAGTGAAGTTCTGATACCATGTAAAGAATAAATTTAATCCAAAACCTAAAATATTATTGGGTAAAGACCGTTTTTAATAGTTTATACTTTATACTATTCAGATTTCTGTCGCCTTCGATTCAGATTTGAGATGTGAAAGGAAACCTTGAGATATTTTCCTGCACCGAGCGGAGGAGGATCCATCTCTCTGTGGCCATAACTTTTGGGTGAGCATTTGGAGCCACAAAACTGAATGATGTACAAGTAGATTTTCTCTAGGCATTCCTGTTATCTTTGGTCTGTAGCTGATGGATAATAATTGACCGGATCCCTTAATATCATGGATGACATTCCACATCTAAGGGAGCATTTGGTAGAACGTTTTCACATTGTTTAGTAAATGGTATATATGTAGTAATCTAGGGTGTTAACATCAATTGTTTTGAGAATGTAGGATGCTTTTGGATTACCTTTTTATTTTTTCCTTACAAAAGTAGTGTCTGAGCCAACTTGTATGCAATCTTTTCGGTCCTATTAGGATGCGAGGATTACAAGAATATCCCTTATTACCTAACTCTAAATAATTACTATAATTAAGATTTAAACTTATAATTGTATGTCTACTTGCATATTATTCTTTCACCCTAAAACCAAATCATTAACTTTTAGGGTTATCTTTTACAATATAATATATTTACATTATTGAATATTTTGAATAATTTTCAACTATTAAACAAATATGGACATCTTGATTGCTCATCATGGCAAAAAACAAAAAAAATTATAATAATAGGAGAAGGTTATATTTACAATTTTTTTTTTTACAAATTACATTAAGTATGACCCGTCATACTTCAATCAAGAGTGTATAACCGGCTATGTAGCACCGATACGACACGTGACACGTGACACGACACGACACGACACAACACGACACTCCGACACGTCAATCCTAAAAAATTATGGATTTCGACACGTTGGGACACGTTTTAATATTAAATAATAATTTTAATTTATATAATGTATATTTCATTTAATATTTAATAATTTAACAAAAAAATGAAACTAAATTAATAATACCCATCAACACGTTATAAAGATGGAAGCTTTAATAAAAAAAATAAGAACTGGGATGAGAGAGAGATATAATATCATATAGAGATATCAAATCATATTAGAGAGAGATCAGAGACAAGGAGATACAACAAAAGCGTGATAGGAATTGACAACAATGATGCTGAGATAATCTCTTATCTACTTAAGGGGAAAAAAGACAAAAAAAATAAAATTGATATGATCAGGTGGAAGCTTTATTAATATATTTAAATATTTTAAAAAAATTTAAAAAATTTAAAAAAAAATTACGAAAATGTCATTTGACCGTGTCGGACACGGTCAAATTCGCGTGTCGGAATGGTCAACGTGTCAGAAAAAGTTGACCGCATGTCCGACACCGTGTCGGAGTGTGTCGGACACGACTCTCCCTGTTTTTACAAGTGTCTGTGCTTCCTTGATAACCGGTCATACTTAGTGTAATTTTTGTAAAAAAAATTTGTGAATGGATCCTTCCCCATTATAATATTATGCCCAAACAATTAAGATATTTTACAATACCTAAGTGGCCAGCTAACACCTAATAGAATGACAATAAGTAAAGTTAGGATATAACTTCAAAAATTATCATTTATTTTAGAAATTAAAGGTGTGCATGACAACTTTTTTAGAATCATTTTTTTTTTCAATTTTTGTTTTCGGGAACAGAAATTGATAAAAACAGTGTTTGATAAAATCAATTTATTCTTTTGTTCCCGAAAATGAACCAGTTCAATTTCTGTGCTGGAAAACAGAAAAAAGAATCAAAAAAATTATGGGTGTGTTTGAAAGTGTTTTAGTTTTTTTGTTTTCAAAAACTGTTTTAAATATGAATTTTAAAAACTGATTTTGAGAGTAAAAAAACAAAAAAACTTGTTTGAGTGTAGTTAAATTAAAGTTATAAAGAAGTTGTAATTATTTACAAAAATGCCATTAATTAAGTTTTAGAATTACAAAAATACCACCATAAAGTAATTGTTTTGAGTCAATATTTACGAAAGTGCCATTAATGAATTCTGTTATTTACGATTTTGCCACCGCCTAAACAAAAGAAACCAAAAACAGCGTTGGAGAACATCATGAGGTTGTTTTGGTTTTCTGGTTTTTAAAACTAAAAAAGAGTCATTGTTTCGGAAAGCATTTTGTAAAACAATCATTTCCAAACAGATTTTTTTACTTTTTTGTTTCAAAAACTTAAAAACTGTTTTTGAGAATAGGAATCAAACAGACCCTATGTTTTGTTGTTCTCGAGCACAAAATGAAAAACACTTCTCTCTCTCAATCACTCTCTACCACTACCATCATCACCACCATCACCATCATCCGACACGACCACCACCACCATTGTCGTAACCACTGCCGTCACCACCACTACTATGCCACCCCCACCCCCACCATGCCACCACCATCGCCACCATTACCGCCGCCACCACCACCACTATGCTATTATTACTATCGCTGTCACCACCAACGCCATCATTATCACCACCATCGTCGCAACCACTGTCGTCACCACCACTACTACTGTTATCGCCACCACCACCATTACCACCACCACACTACCATCGTCGTCGTTGCCACCACCACCAACTTCATCATTACCACCACCATCACCGCATCCATTACCGTCACCACCATCACGCCACCATCACCTCCACTACTATGCCACCACCATACACCATCACGCCACCATCACCTCCACTACCACGCCACCACCATCACCACAGCCACTACCATCACCACCACGCCACCGCCACCACTACCACACCATCTATGACCTACCACCATTACCACCACCACCACATCATATGAAAAGAAAAGTGATAATCCAAAAAAAATTATGCTTAATAGGAATAAATTTTTATTATATTATTTGTTGTGTTATCAAACACAATTCTCATTCTCGGAATAAAAATAGAACATGTTATCGAACATATTTTTTGTTCTCATAAAATGTTTCAAGGCATATAAATAAAAAAAAGAATTATTATTTTCAGAAATAATATCAGGGAACAAAATGATTGTCATGCACACCCCAATAGTCTCCGACTTATGACAAAAGTGAGAGGAGAAGTACCAACAAAGCCCAGCACAGTTGGTAGATAGCTGAGTTCCTTAAGCATGCTGACAGGGGTTCGATTCATGACCGTGCATATGAAAAAGGCTTTGTTGGGAGAGGTTTATCCTCTTAATTAATGTGATCTCCCGTCTCGAAAGAATTAGTCTTCGGCTGTCGGCTCGAGGATACCTTAAAAAACCAAAAAAAATAAAAATGAAAGGAGAAGTAATTTTATTTTAATATTATTTTATGGAAAAAAAAAAATTACATCCCCCATTCCACAAAATTAAAAAAATTACATTCCTTGCTCCCTCTTTATATCTTTTACGAACCTTATTCACAAAACTCTCTCATTCTACTTCGCATCTCTCTGTTTGCTCTTTAATTTACAAACATCTCGCGTTTCAACTTCTCCTCATTCTGGATGTCCTTTTTTAGTAACTAAGCGATAAAA